TTTCATGGAAATCATCTAGTTGGCGTATATGGTACCTGTATGGAGTCCACGACTCTGAACCGTACAAAAGGATGGCAAGTACAACATCTCTGTAAACCCGATATTTTATGATATATATATATATATATATATATATATATATATACGTACACATATATATGTGTGTGTGTGCTGCAAGAAAAGTTCATAGCATTTTTCAGTAGGTGGAGTTTCAACATGTGATAGCGTTTCATATATAATTGTAATTTATGGCATACGTCTATATTTTGAAACGTGACATTTTAGCTTTTCATTCAGGTAATATTTTTGTGTGGATTATGAATTTAAAATGTTTTAGTTAAAAGTGAATGTAGTGGAAATATATATACTCTTCCATTTCCAGAATGTAAAAGAAAACACTGTACAAACAACGAAAAGGTTATGTGTCGTTTATGTAGACAGTGCCATTGTACACTATTTGTAAGTGATTCACTGAGATTTAGAAATGGAAATTTTGGTTTGGAATATCGTCCATTTTACGATAGGCCTGAAGTCGTTGATGAGGGACAAATAAAAAAAAAAGCTGATTAGAATTAGTCGTTGTCACACAACACGAGACAACGCACTGATACTTCACACACCTAATAGGAGCTTTCTAGGACAATTGTTCACACTTTGGAAATATGAATTGCCACGATGTATATTTCATGAACCACATTTTCATCGGCGATGCCCAATCCAAGAAAAACGATCGATTTTTTTTTTTCTCGAAAAGAACATTCACAAGCGATATAAAATTGATTGTCTACAACAAGATGGAATGAAAAGATCCTAATGCTAGAGAGATAAGCCAGCGTCAACCACTCCAAAAGCCGGTCTACATCCGGAAAAAATGGTGCTGTTTATCTGATTATTACTTTAGTCAAGTTATATTCCCAGTTGGGTCGATTAAACCCTTTATTTAATTTTTCCTTTCTGGACATGAAGTGTGTAAAAATGGTCCAAATGTTCTGCATACCCGAGCGCTTTCGGCTATTCTTTTAGCCATTATCAAGGACCATTTTGATTTGATTTTTAACTGAATATCTGGATATTTTATATATGTAACTAATTTTTTTTTTAAATTTTCTAAACACGTTCAGCAAATTCTGGTCGTGTTCATAGTTGGTATTATTGAGTGATGGATTTTTCTCTTTAATTATGAGTTCTTCCGTGAATTATGAGTTCTTCCGTCTTTTTTTTACATGTGGATGTGGCTATTACACTCCTATTTTTCACGAATATATTGCGGATGGAGATTAGTAGGTTTCCGTGTGTGTTTAATTGAATCCTAACTGAGCTATGGTCAGAGAGATGTAACGTTAAGTATTCTTAATAGACATGTAATGGTATGTTCAATATAATTTGGTTTGATCAGAAACTTAATAAACTTATCAGTTATTGGTTCACTGATGGTTCCCTTGTTTTCTTATTGGTCCTTTGTAATTTATATCTTGCAGGTGTGTTGTTAGTTTTGATGATAAATTCAGGTGTTTTAAAAAAAATTTTATAGCAAATAACTCATTTCATTTTCTTGTTGTGGTCGACTGGGGTTGTGTATTTCTTTATAATGTTTCTAAGAGAAAATTCATCTTTCTTATAGCTAATTCGGCTTTTTTTTTTTTTTTTAAATCGTCATCACCCCAACCAAGGCACTAGAGCCACTAAGACGTAAAGGGTTACAGAGTGTGGAGGAATTAGGAACAAAGCAATTAGTAATGAGTAGGGAGAGAAAATGCAATCAGGAGGACAGTAGATAGCCATGTGACATTGCATTTAAATTTTTACAGGTTAAAGTTGGCTGGAAAGCATGGAGCCGAAAGTGAGTTCCACAAGCGAGAAGTGCGAGAAAAGAAACTGTCAACATATAAATTATGGCTACATCTAGCCAGATCAGCTGTAAATTGATGAGATGTCGCCCCCAGTCTAGTGCTGTGCTTAAACTCATACAGTTTAGGGTCCATAAAGAAGAGCTCATCCGAACAATTATCCGTCCTGGGTATGACAATAAACTACATTCGTGTCCTGGGTAAGACGATAAACTACGTCCAGCAGCAAGGCCTCTGATCAGAAGGTTTTTGAGGTGCATAGAATCAATCTTAATTGTTGATGTTCCCAGGTCCGCCCTGACCCAGTGTGGTAGCACCTGTTAGGGTCCCAGCTACGGGCAAATAGTTAACCCCGAAACTGGGGTAAAAATACTATGAAAGTGTAAAAATAGGTTTTAATACCAGAAATACTTTTAAAAAAATTATTACTAGCAATAAATTTTTGGAGAAAAAAAACTATTACCAGCAATACATTTTTGAGAAAATATTACCAACAATATTTAAAAAAAAACAAATATTACTAGCAATACATTTTGGAAAAAGATATTACCAGCAATACATTTTTGAAGGAAAAATATTACCAGAAATAGATTTTTTTGACAAAACAAAATATTACCAGCAATAAAAATTTTATCGGCATTAAAAATAACCTATTGAGGTTGATATACCGTAAAACAAAACAAAACAAAACTACAGTTATCACGAAAGTATTTATAAAAAAAAAAGGCACAGATCTGCAACCTTACGACTGTGGACAAGCGACTAAAGCAGAGCCGCCAGATCAGGACCAATAATATTGCTGATTCTTCTTTAGATCATACCAAGGAGCTCCAGGTAAATAACGTTGGCACCGGACGATATATGGCAGAAATATTCTAAGCATGGACGAATGGTAGACTTATACAAGATAGATTCCGGAGAGAAAAATTGTCCCGCACGACACAGTGAACCAATTTTTTTAGCAGCTGAGCTATCAATGAATTCAATATAGTCTGTCCACTTCATATATTTGAATAAAACAAACTATTCTCAGTATGTCTCCACCTACCTACTTACCTGCCTACCTACCTACCTACCTATCTATCTATCTATCTATCTATCTATCTATCTATCTATCTATATAAATACACAGCGTGCCAAATTATTATCGAAGTAACTTTTTTTCTAATATTTCAAAAACCGTCCAATCAATTCACACAAAATTTTCACACGATGTTGGCAACACTGAGCTGCGCAATTACTGAAATCTTTGTACTGATCTGCGCAATGTAAACAAACTGGCGCCATATTTGTTATCAGTACGGTGATTTGAGCGTGCCAAATTATTATAAAGGTTTAGTAAAATTCCCAGAATTGAGCAAACAAAACGTTTATTAATGTTGAACGTGGATGTTTATGATCAAAAGAAGCTAATAAATAAGATAATCAAACAAATAATAACAGATACAAAAAAGGCACAGTTTTAAACAAATTAATAGGGAAGGTGCTTTCCCTATTTTGAAATTTGCTCAATTCTGGGAATTTTACTAAACCTTTCTAATAATTTGGCACGCTCAAATCACCGTACTGATAACAAATATGGCGCCAGTTTGTTTACATTGCGCAGATCAGTACAAAAATTTGAATTGATTGGACGGTTTTTGAAATATTAGAAAAAAAGTTATCTCGATAATAATTTGGCACGCAGCGTATATTCATATTTGTCTGGCTACCTAGTTAACTCATTCTGTACCTATGACTGTGTGATCATTATCTATCCATCTATCTATCTATCTATGACAGTGTTTCTATCTATTTTTCTCATTATATTCTTATATATATATATATATATATATATATATGTGTGTGTGTGTGTGTGTGTGTGTGTGTGTGTGTGTGTGTGTGACAGCGTTTCCATCTATCTATCTATATATCTATCTACCTATCTATGACAGTGTTTCTATCTATCTCATTATGTTCTTTATCTATCTATGAGTGTTTCTATCTATCTCTCTATCTATCTATCTATCTATCTATCTATCTATCTATCTCATGTTCTTTATCTATCTATGACAGTGTTTCTATCTATATATCTATGATAGTGTTTCTATCTCATTATGTACTTTATCTATCTATCTATCTATCTATCTATATGAGAGTGTTTCTTTTTTTCTATCTATCTATCTATCTATCTATCTATATATATATGAGAGTGTTTCTTTCTTTTATGAGATCTTTCTATCTATCTATCTATCTATCTATCTATCTATCTCATGTTCTATATCTCTATGACAGTGTTTCTATCTATCTATTCATCTCATTATTTTCTTATCTATCTATCTATCTATCTATCTATCTATCTATCTCATTATGTTTTTACTTATCTATCTCTCTATCTGCCTGTCTATCTAAACATGCCCTTACATGTTCATCTATCCGTCAGTCTACCTATTGCGCACTTTATACTTATCTGTTCTCTCGCAGAAACAACTTTCAATTTTTCCATAAAGTTTCTAGAATAATGCGAAGCAAGCAAAAAATATCTATTTTCTGATGAAAAATGTGTTTTTATTATCAATTGTTGAGATCCATAAGACTGAAATCAGAAGGGATTCTATCGAAATTTTGGATTGAATTAACTGTAAGTCAGTCGACAGGTGTATTTTATTTTTTAGAATGGCTCGTTATTTCAGTGTCTTTTCTTTTCTTTTCTTTTTTTTTACTTTTGCAACATGGCGATAAGGTACCCTTTTCATTGTTACCTGAAGAGATTTCTGTCAGAAGAAAGGTTTCTTAAAGAGACGAATAGATAAAGAAAACGAAAAGAAAAATTGTTTCTTGATCCTGAAAGAAAAGAAATATATTTTCATATTCCAAACATTCACTCTCGGATTTCTGATTATCATTTTAAAAGTCGTTTCTTCTAGTTTCTCCCTTTCCCTCAGAGAAACTCGCATCGACTTACGTAGCGACGCCATTTTATGTCCCCAGCTGAAAAGGAACAAAACAAAAAGGAAGAGAGAACAAAATTTGCTTTTACGCAAGCGCGAGATACAGCTGCATCCGGTTCAGGATAAATGGAGAAAAGTAATAATTCCTTTATTTATTTATTTTTTCCTTTATTTGAATATTTATTCAAATATTTTTCCTATTCTATATTTTTCCTACATTAGAGATGTTTGATAGGTGGGATGTCTGAAAATATGTGTACGTCTCTAAAAGCTTATTTCCGTTTTGAACCTCCCCATCAAAACATTGGAAAGCTTTTTTTTTTTTTTCAAGAACCTGAGACTGCCAAAATTGATTTGTTCACTTCCGTTGGTAAAAGCAAAGCTTTGAATAGAACTTACCTGATTCTCTCTCTCTCTCTCTCTCTCTCTCTCTCTCTCTCTCTCTCTTGCAGATAATCGATGGATTGGCGATGCAAATAGATATATCTATACACGTATATTTATCTACAAATAAATATATCCTTACAAACATATAATTATGCCTACATATCTATAAATCGATACCTACGGCTGCAGGAGCACTATTCTGTCAGCAGGCTCTCTTCAAACAACAGATTTATTTATCTCGATAAGGTTGATGTAAAACTTCCCACCACGATGTTTATTTATAGAACTTTTCTATATTCTTTTATTGCAGTCTCCTTGCTTCTGAGAATTTATTAGGCAGGATCTCGATAAACGTGGGAATTATATATTTCTTACGCTGGTAATCTCGCCATTACAAAATGCGAAGTTCTGAACCGGATAAACGATAAGTTTTCTTTTCTTTACCAGTTTTTTTTTGTTTGTTTTTGTTTTTGTTTTGTTTTTATTAACTTAAAATTTTAAGCAGTCCTGATATATTCCCGGTTTCGGACGTCTGAGTCTAAAACCCTAATGAGAGATTGTTAAAGAGATGATTTTCTGCCCGAAACTATGCAAGTCCCTCTGCCGCTTTACCTGTTGTCTATACAGTATCGTTTTTTTCTTACCATTTTTATATTTTTGCAATGCCCAAGAGCCACTCGAGGTAGAGGGTTACAGTGTCAGTAAGTACCAGCTCAAGCAAGAAGATAATGCCAACGAGACGCAATGTGCCACCGGATGTGCAAAACAAGGAAAAGGTCTTAGAAAGAACCGGAAACCCAATCCTGAACAGGAAACAAAGGATAAATCTCTATCCCTGTTCAAAAGATCGAGGAGGAGAGTGAACTGGACGATAGGCGAACCTATCTACTCCTAATTAGAAATTTAAAATTTCAACGCTTTAGGTGGAGACGTCAGAATTATAGACGTGAAATAGACTTTGGAAGTAACAGGAAACTTAATCCCAAACAGGAAACAAGGGATAAACCTCTACCCTTGTTCAAATGTTCAGGGAGGAGTGTAAATCGGACGATAGGTAAGCCTGTCTACGCCTGTATATTGGGTTGGAGAAAAAGTTAGTAATTTTTTTGTCTTTTATAGATAGAGATAGATGTTAATAATAATTGCAATAGTAATATTAGCCGTTTCCCTGCAAGAAATAAGGTCATTCATTGACCGATCAGTCAATACTGACGAGGGTTTCCTTACTAACCTTTTGTCTGAAGTAGTGTGGAACGTCAACATCTCGATTATGTCATTATTTTCTCTTCGAAGATACACATGCTATCCATTGTAGTTTTTTTTTTTTTTTTGCATGCTAGCATGCTAGTTAACATTCGTGCCAGTCAGATGTTGGCTCTCACGCTGGCCAATAGAATCTTCCTGCCTATTCGTGGAAGCCAGCTGTAGGCTCTCACTCTGGCCGCAAACTACATGGAAACTGTTGTAGAAGCATGAAAAAATCGATTATTTCCACTATCGATGGGAGTTGGGAAATGCAAAGTGGGTCTTGGCCTTTCCCGCTAACTTGGAGCATGTGCATGTAAATTTTGGTGCAAATCCGTCGAAAATTGCGGCCGTGCATTCGTTACACACACACACACACATCCTGCCTTTTATAATAGAGATTTTCCGAACAGGCAAAAAAGCCATTTCTATGCAAATTCGAACAAATTTTCTTTCAGTACCATAGAATACAACTCTTTTCCTGACTAATTTATGAGGATGCAAAGTGATATAGTCAAAAACAATAGCGATAAAAATTTAAAAAGCTACAGAAATCTAAATGATGTCGGCTAGGTTATGCATCTAGATACAACAGGCGCCTAAAATTTAAAGATTTAAATTTAAAGCTAAGCGTTTCTGTATCTTTAGCATTTCCAGATATAAAATCGTAACAGAATTTTGTGGCCGAATTTTTGATTTGATTCTTTCTTTCGTATGAAATCGCAAAATGAATGTTGTCTTGAAAGGCCACTCTTCTAGATCTTTTTACATTAATGCGAGTATCCCCAGTCCTCTATCCTTGGACCTACTTTGTAATTTTCATCAATGATTTCCCTGATATCATCAGTTCTAAACTCGGTATACATTGAGATGTCACAACGATTTACTCCTGTCTTAAGGATAATATTGATTGGTTCGATTAAGTCAAATTGGAAGCTGAGCTCAAAACTGACTTTTAATACGTTGTTAACTGGACAAGAAATGGCGTATTAATTTTAATTAAAAAAAATCCCGCTCTCTTTTAATCGTCTTTTTTTTACCTTCCATCAACGTCGTTTATGTTTACCCCCAAGACAATGACTCATTGCCATATCTCGAGCTTAGGTTTTCTACTTAAAGCTTAAAGAGTCTACTGAATCAATTGCTAAGTTTGCTGCTAGGAAAGTTGGCTCACAGTGTCGTTCTAGAAATTTGTCTCGCAAGAAACATTACACATTTATAAGTTATGAAATGGGCAAAGTCCGACAATTTTATGAATGAACGTGAGAGATTCATGGAAGATGGAAGTTTAAAGACAGTAAAATCGACCTTACTAACGGAACCCTCCTTCGTGGCCAAATCGATTAAAGGCACATCAAGCTAATGATGGTTCCGTATAGGATACAGGATCGAATCCTGTCGGAGGACGAATATTTTCTGTGAAAATTTCTCGGACATTCAGGACGGTAAATGTTGTTTAATACTGTTTATTATAAACAGAGCATTTACTTAAATATTTGTATCTATAAAAAGAATGTAGAAACATATTAAGTTGGTGCTAAAATAATGACGTAATAATGTCATTTTTTAACGTCAAAAAACGACATTATTACGTCATTATTTTTGCACCAACCTAATAAAAATTCCTTAAAATAATTGTTGGACTTTGTCCATTTCATGATGTGTGACGTCATTTGTTTACATTTGGATAGGCTTTGAGCAGATCTGAATGTCGCGAGAGATTTATGTAAGATGGAAGTTTAAAGACAGTAAAATCGATCTTGCTAATCGAACGCTCTTCTGTGGCTAAATCGGTATAGGCACGTCAAGCTAAATGACGGTTCCGTATAGGATACAGGTTCGAATCCTGTCGGAGGACGAATATTTTCTGTGAAAATTTCTCGGACATTCAAGCCGGTAAATATTGTTTAATACTATTCATTTATGATGAGAAATTATGTTATATTCAAGAAAAATCGCTACTTGTTAGTATCCTTCTCGTCTGGATCCCGAGGAATCGCGAATATCTGAGTCAACCTCCGATAAGTAACGTGAGCCTTCAACACATTTATAATAATTATTACTCTAGATAAATATTTAGCCATTTATTTGTAGAAATTCTGTTCGATTTAAAATGTGTTGAGTTAAATAATTTTATGCATGTCAATAGGATTTTTATTGATTGATCGTTTTTTTTTTACGGATTATCTACCATTTGGAGAAATATCAGAAAATATTTCTCTATTGTGCAATTATTTGGGGAAAATAATAATGCTTTACTGATATAAGTCCTACTAACTAAGACTAATTAAGAAGAGGTGAATTCAAGTTTTTTTTTCAATAGTATTTGTGCGTACGTAAATATAAAGAACACTAATGAAACTGAAACCGTCTCTCCGATCTCTAATTCAGTACCATTATTCATTACACCACCCTTACATCCAAGCTGACAAAAACTGGCATTTCCAAGCTCTGAGCAATCTAGGAACAAACCAGGCTAGATATTGCTTAACTTAGGTGATCGTACGAGAACCACTGATATGGTCATAAGCGGTGTATCAATAGACGTTATTACTATTATTTTTAATATTATTCTAATATATCAGGTCATCCCAAAAGTTCTGTCCGAATTTTGAATAAAGAAAACAAGTGGCCAAATGCGACATTTAATTACAGATTCAATCAACAATGATTCCTGATTATCTATAACTTCCTTCCATCTATTAACAAGCTTACTAATTCCATTACTGTAAAACACTTTTGGCTTTGATTCGAAGAATATATTTAAATGTTTTCACCCAGTATGAGGAATTTCTGTATCCTCAATTTTGACCCGGATCTGCCAAAACTTATTCGAAAATTATAAAACTACAATAAGACGTTTGTCTTGTGAGTTACGTTCAATACCACTTAATGAAATATATATTAGTTTGAGTCATGATTAATTTTTCTTTTTACTTGTTAACTTTATTCTTTAAAACCTTGCAAAACAGTTGGTTCCCCAAAACGGAAAATAGTTATGACTCCACCTAGTATATATATATGGTCGGGGGGTTATTTTGGTTATTTGCGAAATGTCGATCTATATGTGCGCGAAATTGCACTAATTGTTGACAAATGACGAGTCAGCCTACGAGAGAGAGAAGTGCATGTGTGACCAATGTTAGAATTTAATGTTGATATTTGTTTGTTAATGTCCCAAAGAACTTGTTATTTGTCAAAATTTAGTGCAATTCGCGCATATTTAGATCAACATATAGACGGTTCTTCTAAAAAGTGTGGTCAGTTCTTCACAAGCCTTCACCATTATAATCAAATTATATGTTGCTGTTTAGAGCTGCTGGGCCATCATAAGATGGCATGCCGGAAGAAAAAGAGCCCAACGTCACATATATATATATATATATATATATATATATATATATATATATATATATATATATGTTGAAACTTGACTAATGCATGGAATAATAATGCAACACAAAATGTACTTAGAACAAAATGTACTTAGAACAAAATGTATTGAAACAAGAAAATGTACACAATATTTACATATAGTCTCTTGTATATTCCTGGTAAGACCGTTCCTGGAGAATGTGTTGACTGAGTCGCAGTCGGGCAGAGTCTCTGGTTGAATCTCTTGATTCCTCCCTCTCTTCCCGGTACTAACCATATTTATGCAAATTAGGTGTATCATACCACAACAATATATATATATATATATATATATATATATATATATATATATATATATATATATATCAAATCATCCCATAAGTTCTGTCCGAATTTTGAATAAAGAAAACAAGTGACCAAATGTTACATTTAATTACAGATTCAATCAA